CCTCGGTGTCTGGGACTTTGTCCTGCCATTTGATGTTGATTATTTTCCTGAGCCTTATGGTGTGATAGTAGTTTATCTTCTTGGTATAGCGTTGATACACCGTCCACGTTTCGAATGCGTAGAGTAATATGGAGAGTACAACTGCCCTGTAGACCTTTTGTTTGGTACTGATGATAAAGTTTCTTCTATTCCATACATTCTCATACAATCCGCCAAAATTTGCACTGGCTATGGCAATGCGAAGGTTCATCTGCTCGTCAATGGCGACACTCTGTGAAAATGTGCTGCCCAGTTAGGTGAAGTGGTTCACTTCGTTGAGGGTTTGGTTGTTGACGGTGATGTTTGGCTCAGTTTAGGGCTTTCCCGGGCCTGGCTGATGCAGTACGTTTGTCTTCTTAGTATTAATGGCATGACCAAAGCTTGTGCAGCAACTGGAGAACTTGTCAATACTGCATTGTAGCTATGCTTCTGAGCCAGCATTAAGGGCGCAATCATTAGCAAATAAGAACTCCCTGATGTTGTCTGTCATAACCTTGGTTTTCGCTTGTAGCCTCCTAGGGTTGAATAGTTTCAATCTGTATGGTACCTGATGCCGACTCCAACAACTCCGTCTCTGAAAGCATTAGTTAGCATGGCGGAGAAAAAAGACTGAACAGTGTTGGTGTCAGAACACAACCCTGTTTGACGCCATTAGTTACTGGGAATGGTTCAGACTGAGCTTTATTTGGTAAATTAAATCGGACTCTTACAGAACCCAACTCTCTGAGTTTTCTACCTATTATTTATTTTTACCTCCCGCACTTTTTGACATCAATAAAAATTAAAAATAAATGCGTTTGGTTTTTCCAGTAAACTATATGCGCTTCTAAATCCCTTTAAAATGAGTAGTTGGGCCTTTATGTAATAAGATTAATTTTAATACTGTTTTGTATCGGGTACTTAATAGCCAAATAAAAGGGCTGAAGCCAAATTCTTGATAATAATTTGTATGTGACCCAAAGGTAGAGGAGACGAAAAAGCTTGTAGTAGAATGAATTATCGTACCTTCATAATAATTTACGTCACGTTTTATGAAAATCTATCTTTGGGTTTAAGAACCATATGCAAATGGTAAAACTTGAAATATAACGTTCACATGCCATTAAGGGAGATAACCCGTACAATATCAAAATTGAGTGTGCACGGCAGTTGTTCCCCATTGTCAGTTACAAAAGATTCTGCATAAAGCATAAATATTAGAGCAGCTGATGATAATCTGTATGCATGATACTCTTCTGTAACTCGCACATTCGTCTCAGTCACATTTGGAACTGGAACAAAGAGACGCATGTACAGCGTATGAATGTTTTTCGCGATGTGGAACATTTATCCATGATATTTTTCGAGACACAAACAAAATATGTATATTCAATAACACAGTTGCTGAACATTGCTATAGTGAAGTAGCGAACACTAATTAGATTTTTGTCGTATCTTAAACAATGGACTAAATTAGCGTTATATTGAATGAAACAGAACAGGAAAGCAACAATATCAGTATACAGGAATAATGCCTACTTGTTTACAAGTTTTGATAGGATGCACATTTTACTTAAAAGCTAGATGCATCAAAGAAAAACAATCGAGAAATTAAAGGTTTTCAATTATTATTTTCAAATATTTAAAACAGCATAATTCAACGCAGAATAGTGAAAACAATACAGCACCAAGAAGAAATAAATTTCGTATTTGATGTAGACAAATGTGGGTTTATATTATAATTTAGAGATGTAAGCTTCACTATGCCAATTAAAAGAATAGACAAGTTTCACAGCACAAGAAAATAACGCTCTCGGTTATCTTGCAAAATTCCAAAATTCCAAAGCGCTGCGCTCACTGCTGGAATTACAATCGAAGTGCGAGAACGTGAAGAGTATATCTGTTAGATCCGAGAGGATTGACAGTGTTTAACCGTCAAACAATTAAAAGAAAAATTTTAATCTGATTAGTGTCAACAGACAAACGGCCATGCTAGTGTCGCTTACTCTTCGCCATAATTTGCATGAAACGTATGCCTCGTAGTAAAACAAAACATGAATAATGTTATTTTAATTGAAAAAATTAAAAACAATATAATAATGCTATTTTAATATAAAATACCCCAAACATATAAAATAATGTTTATGCTCAGTTAATATACCAAAACTGTCGAATAATGTTATTTAAAACTGCAATACCACAACGATAGAATCATGTTATGTTAATCAACCCAACCCCCAAACACTATATAAAAATGTTATTTTAAATTGACCTACCCGAAACTATAGAAAAGTGTTTTTAACTAAATTAAAATACCAAAACTACAGAATAATATTATTTCAAATTACGATGCCAAACCTGCATAATAATGTTTTTATTGAATTAAACTACCATAAATAAAGACTAGTATTATTTAAAATTAATATTGTTTACACAACTCCCAGACTAAGACGCAGGATTCTGTAAGTTGATCTATGTATACAGTTTGAAGCTAACATTAGTCCGCTAGTCAGAGACTAGTAGATTTCACTTTAGACAAAAATTGGTATTAGTCTAATGGAATTAAGGGAAATCTTATTTTAAATTTAAGTTCATCAGAAAGAGTGGGTGGAATGGGGCCTGCTGTCTTCTGAATTTGCAAGGAAAGTGATTATTTTTCTACTGATTTTAGTTACAGTTTATTTAAATTACATTACCTCTAAACATGATTTGACACATTCTCAAAACTTAAAAAGAACCTACTTAAATTGATTTGGTGCAAAAAAAAGATAAATGTGCATACTAAAACACATTTTTATTATAAAATCAATTTCTGAGATATTTTTCATTTGCTTGGCAATATGTCTTTTTTTTAAAAGAGAGATAGGTTGATGATGATGATGATGATGATGATGATGATGATGATGATGATGATGATGATGATGATGATGATTATTATTATTATTATTATTATTATTATTATTATTATTATTATTATTATTATTATTATTATTATTATTATAATCTGAATACTCATAGTTGTTTATCAACACTAGAATTACATTTACACGCAGTACCTGTTTTAGGCATAAGCTCAACATGCTATTGCTTAGGGCCCCAAAATCTGAACTCAGTCTGAAGGCTCCCCCCCCTCAAATTTATTTTATACAAAATATGGCCTCTATAGCTTCCCATAGCTTAGGCCTCGCTTTGTCTAAATCCGGCACTGACAGTACACGATGTCATGATATTATTCAGACTTTCTGACTTCGATCTCCGCTTCCAAGTTAATATAAGGAACATTAACCCAGCAGTGATAGCCTCGTTTTGATTTTTACCGATCGGTATATGGAACGGCAACTCGTCCGAAACGCGCATTCTGCATCTTTTCCAAAGATCTAGAGAGAAAAAAAAAAAAACTTTTAAAAATAATTTTCAAAACTTTAAGTTGATACCTTGCAGATATGGAAATTAAGTTATACGAATAATTGGTAGGGTCAACATTGAATGTTGTGGACGAAGTCTACTGGTTTGCATAATGTTGCAAATATAACATTTCAAACATAGAATAAATGTAATATTGATATACAAAGTACCCGAGTTATAACGCTTATGTAAACTTACTAGGATTAAGTGGTTTACCGAGATGAAAATTTAAAAGAAACAAAACAACAACAACAACAAAAATAAATAAAAGAAAACAGCAACACACTGTACGTGAATTTGAAGAAATAGAATGTGATATGTGAGAAAGCTTGCCAGTAGCTTCTCGTGGGTCGATGGTTCTTTCTGGTGATTTCCCGGTTTCTTCCTCCACCATTAATACTGGCCGCCATGAATAGCCTATCGTGTGCTGAAAAATGGCGTTAAACCCAACAACAACAACAACGAAGAAATAGAAAATAGTGGTTCACTAATGTTCTACACAAGAAAAACCTATTTTATCTCCAGATTAAATGCACTAGACTAATTACGTTTATAAAAGAGTTCTGCAAACACAAAATAATTGTATACTGATATTAACATAACAAGTATAAACCTGGATATCTCTAATATAATTTTAAGCCAGATGGTAAAAATTAGATTCGATCTGAAAAACTGACCTATAATTTTAGACTTAATGTTTTATAAATGCTCAGCTACAATATTTGATGCGTCGGTCGATCTGGCACTAATTTACAAGGACATTTGTAAGATTCGATGAATGTGATTTGATGTGGATGAATGTGATTTGATCTCTCTCTCTCTCTCTCTCTCTCTCTCTCTCTCTCTCTCTCTCTCTCTCTCTCTCTCTCTCTCTCTCTCTCTCTCTCTCTCAGCCAAGTTCAATAACTGATAATAATAATAATAATAATAATAATAATAATAATAATAATAATAATAATAATAATAATAATAATAATAATAATAATGACTTTATTTAAGGCTGACTTAAACGGTTGCTTTAAGTAGTGGAGCTTCAGATTTATTTAGGCAAATTTCCAGATGGATTAAAAGACATGTTCAAAATGTGGAGAGTAGAAAGTCATGTATCGCGTATCAGAACATGCAGCTTGTAAAAGAAAAAAAAAAACAACTACAACGGATGTATTATGATGACGCAAACAAAAAATACAAGCAAACAAATTGCAGAAAGGAGTACCTAAAGACGGAGAGAAAAATAAATCCATCAAAAGAGCTAAAGAAACAAGACATCAAAATGATGAAAACCTCGGATTATGTAAAACAAGAAGTACAGTTTTAAAGCACAAAAACAAAACATTAAACCTACTAAAAGGCTGAAAATAATTTGCGTTCCGTCTTTAGAGTTCTGTCTGTAATGGATTAATTCTACAAAGCTTCAAATTGTCAATAAGATAATCTTCATATTTTCCATAAAATGTTTACTTTATCCTCAACAGTCAGACTAGAATCATAATCACCAAGGAACACCGTAATAATTTACAAAAATTCTCTAACGCATTTGGTATAAAATATTATCTGCCACTTCAAATTATTCTGACAGCTCCGGTGGCCTAGTGGTTAGAGTGTCCGCCTCAGATGCTGGAGGTCGCGGGTTCGAACCCAGGCCAAGTCATACCAATGACTTCAAAAAAATGTACTAACAGCTGCTTCGCTAGGCGCTCAGCATTAAGAGGTTAGTGTTATGAGCGGTTAGCCTGGTGACAGACTAATATGACTGGGTGGGACATCATGTCACATGTCTGCGGTATGCTAGACATTACCATAAACTGTCACACTGCAGACATCGTAGTGATGTGACTGAAAAATTGTTAAAGCTACATTAACAATCTAAATCATACAAACACACACACACACACACACATTTTTCTTGGATTTACTCTCCCACAGAGAATATACACAGTGTGATGCCGACCAATAATCTTATTTCTAAAGTAGTTTGTCGCGCACAGAAAGTGTTTTAAAGTCATAATCAATAATATAGGCCTGACTAATTTTACGGTGCAAAATCATTCACGTGATTAAAGGGTTTAGTAGTTGTATTTTCAAAACTAATAGTGGTATCTCCCAAACCTAATAACTCTTCATTGTTTCATATTGCACACACTCTTACGTGACGATCAGTGTAAAATTTGTAAAAGGAGTGGAAGGAGGGTATTCGAAAATAGCGATGAATAAGTACTGCATGATTTATATTGGTTTTACACCCCACCCCACCCCACCCTAAAAATCCATACATTTTAATACATTACCGATCGCTATTACGTAGCTGAATTTGTCAGTAAGGTTGGTAGATTGATTTCTTTTATCTGGGCAAAAACAGAGATACGTAGAAAATGTACACCATTAGAAGGAGAGATCCACTTTGCAATGCATCGGTATCTCGCACTATGGGCACCAGATAAGATATTACTGCGCTTATTGTGCTAAATGGCGAGGGTAAAATGTAGTATGGAATCACCAAGTGCTACCTTTATGACGTCCCCAAAGTAAGAGTGATTTAGATAGGGTTATGAGGCAGTGAGGTTCTAACCTAATGGACTTTATTAAGATAGAAACTAAGCGCCCTAATTTGGTGTAACAGCCTTTCTTTATCATTTCCATATTTGACAGAGACAGGTCTCAAAAGGTCAAAATACATAAGATGAGCAAAATGTGCATCAGAATCGATTGCCTTGTCCTGAGAGAATTTGAATGTGTTAGATATTGCAGCCCTTGATAGTGCATACTATACATATTTTGTTCTCCAACAGGAACAAAAGGAAATTAGTAATAAAATTAAAGATTGGCATATTGGATCAACGTATTTCCCACTGTATAAATTACAGATGATTCGCAACCTGATATAATACGTCTTAGATGTAGAAACCCTACAGGTTGAAAGAAGCAACTGGCAACCAAACCTGAAAATTTATTCTGGCAGAGAGATCGCTTTAGATGAACCAAGCGTGAAAGTGGAGAATCTGTGGGATGATGTGGAGAAGGGAGTCAAAGGTGTTGTGACACAGGATCCTTTCTATGGATAGAGACCTTGGTAGTCCGATCAACAGATCTAGAAGGTTGTTAAGCCAAGATCGCTGGGGCCACAAAGGGCAAAAAGAATGTTCTGAGCAGTGGAGGTTCTCACTCTTGCTTAGCTGGAGGTAGCAGACGGAATGTTGGGAACCTGTATGCGAACAGTCGCTCAACCCCACTGAAGGCTGAAGGTATCTACAGACCACGCTCACTGGTATGGAACAAAAGATACAAGGGAAGCTTTATTGTTAAGCCTCAAAAGTCTAAAAGAGGAGACAAGGGACAGTGTTGTGGAGTTGTGAAGATACAATTCTATTAAGACAGCTCTGCCATTCTTAGAAAGACTGTCTGCTAAAATGTTTTTCTTCCCACTGAAAGGGCGAAATCCTCCTAGATAGCCCAGCGGAGAAGGTTTCAGACCACTGCAAGAAGAGGGGCATATGGGTCCACCTGTCGTAGGAATTGCTATAGTAGACACGTTTGTCTGAGAATACCATGACACATTGACCCCTTACTCTCCTGATGCACCCGTGCAACGCTAGAGATACGATCTTTCTAGGTTGTTGATGTAAAAGGACGACAGAATGGGAAAATGGGTTGGAGATCAAACATCCTGGAGGATATATGTCTTTGGATCAAAATAAGCTCCCCAACCGGAAATCTGACGCATCGGCGACAGGAAGGAGTGAATGCATGCATATGGGGACTCCAGTCAGGAATTTGTCCCTTGTCATCCACGTATGAAAAAGATGACGAAGAGTGGTTATGGTTAATAGAAAATATGTATGATTTAGGCTTTGCGAGAAGGAGGAGCTGTAGGAGACACATACATAGTCGTCACAGGGGAAGCAAGTCGGCAGCAGCGTTCAAGGTACTAAATAGTGAAAGGTGCAGGAAAGCAGGGATGAGTGTCTTTGCTCACAGTGTCTCTAAAATTGCCAGAATTATATCTATCCGTTCCACTGGCTCCTTTGGAAGTTCACCCCTTTGTGAGCAAAGTCGTGAGTTGAAAGAGGTTCTGACTTATCGAGGTTGGGCAGAAAACATAACCGACTTACCACGGACCAATAACGGAAAAGATCCTGATGAAGGGACCGAACCCGAATATTGTGGATCAGCCAATAATCGAAATACTGAAGAATCGGTTTTCCTAGTGATCGGAAATATGCCGCTACTTTACTCCCTCAGCATAGGTGAAGACTGGGCGAAGACAAGATTCCGAACGGCATGACCAGGAATTGAACAACCTCCTGGACTAAGCAAAACCGGAGGTATTTTGCTGTTCGGAGGAATTATCAGGGTGTGCGTGTGCGAAAAAGCATCATGAAGACAGATGGAGCCCCCACCCCCTGCCAAATCTAAAAAAAATGAAGAGTGTTCGTGGTTGATGAAGAGGGTTTCAGCTTGAAAGGTTTCTCTAGATGAAAAAGGTTAAAAGGGGAGAAATCGATTATAATACGAAACACTCCATCTTTTTTGTTACCAGGAAGATTCTGGAATGTAATGCCAGAGACTAATTGTTCATTACCCTCTCTACCGCCACTGTCTGCAAAAGTGTGTGCATTTCCTACCTTCATTTCACCAGATTTCATTGATGAAAAAACATCGGGGCCTGGAAGACGTTGTTCCAGAACTGGAGTAGTTAACCCTCAATCACGATTCAAAGGACCCAACCAACGTCTACGATCCTCGAGAAGAGATCTGAGAAGAGGTCTATACGAGCACCTACGGAAATGTTAGGTAGAGGGATGAAGGACAGGAGAGGGTTTGGTCCAGGTTATCACCCTCCCCCAATTGCCACGGTAGGAAAGCAAGCTGGGTTCGACAACTTCCTTTTGATGCACTGCAGAATCTAATTTCCCGAGCGAAAGACTTGGTGAACGGTGCCTGACGGAAAAAAAAAGCATTTCCACGTTCCAGGTCGATTTGCGATGGGCCATAATCGCTGGTGAAGGATCGATGATCCAGAAAGCCTTGAGAAGTCACTGTACGGATTAATCATCCGAAGAGCGTCTAGGCATTAAATATAACAGTCCTAGAAGTTCTTAACTACGATTAAGCAAGATCTTAGAAAACAACGTCACGGTAGAGATGTCAAGTTTCCACCGATACTGCTATTGGAAGAAAAAGCGAACCTCACCTGTAATACATGCTATACACACTCCAGTGAATACTTACCTGGACTGTTTGTACAATGGTAAATAAAGAATTAATCAGGAGTTACCGTCTTCTAACTATCCTACTTTTTAATAAGGCAGACGTATGTTTGTTTAACCTTTACTGTGCTTGAGTGAAAATGAGGAGATACACAATAACAATGAAATGCATCACGCGTGGATTCGGATAGAATGGTGTGATGGACCAAAAACATCGAAAACGAATTTTGTGTAGTTATTCATTAATGAAATTACGAATTCATATTAAAATGTGGTTCACATTATGTTGCGTTATAACCTGGCAGATAAGACTTAACCATGAACCAATTGTATTATTTTGACAAATAAAAAGACTATACCCTGACCCATAAAGGGTCGGTTACAACGTGGCAACCAAAAACGACCATTCCAGAATTACTGCGAATAGGCAGGAGTTACCGACATAAAAAAAGAAGACGAGAAGGAGGAATGTGACACTGAATTATATATAAATGATTGGAGAACCAAATGTGGTTTAACCTCGCAACATACAATTGTTCTATGGCCATCATCATGGCGTCCTAAAAGAGATAACTATTTCTGCACATGCGTGACGGATACATGTGTGTGTATGTATGTATGTGTATATATATATATATATATATATATATATATATATATATATATATATATATATATATATATATATATAGATGCAATAAACTGACGACGAACAGTACGAAACTAGTAACTAACTAGCCTAAGCGCTTTCGACTCTTAATAAGTCTTTTTCAAAGGCAAATACAAAACATAGTTACGACAAACAAATAAACACAAAAACGTTGCGTTTGTAAACCTCTACATTTCTATCTTCACATGTGCTAAAACTATAAATACAACCAGCTTGTATAGACTAGTTGCGGAAACTGAAAACGTTGTATAATTCCCTAAAAGTCTACAAGCCAAAGCGACATCTATTTTTACTTTGTGTACATATGTAACGCAGATTATATCCCGGATATTTGGTTCTATACCGGTTATTCTTATAGTAAAAATTGAAGGATAAGAAGATTTAGAAAATGTTAAATTCTACCAGTGCATAGTTTTCATTTTCTAGTCTTCTTGGTTTAGACCGCTTGGTTTCAATGTTCTAAGGCGGCGTATCCAGTATGATTCCTTTTCCTTCCTGGTTTCGGAACTCCAGCTGTGGTTGTTGGCAATAGCGATAAGTATTATATCACTGAAAGTGTGGCCAGGGGAGGAGAAGTGTTCTGCGACCGGGCTTCTGTACAGCTTTTTTGTCATCCAATCAGATCTATGAAGGTTTATCCTTATGTGTAGCTTTTCAGTTTCTCCCACGTACTGAAGGCCACAGATCTCACATGTGATGAGATAAATCACATTCTCTGTTTTGCACGTTTTGTTTGGACCATGTATGTTTAGTTTTTCTTTAGTCACTGTGCTA